CTCATCCATGCCTGCTGACTTAAATACATCCAGTCCATCCAAGTGACTCTGCACCAAGTCAGTGTTGACAGTTGGTGGGCCGGTGTCCCCCTGGTGCCCATCTAAGAACCCATTAGGAGACTTACATTGACCCCTGTTCAAGAACACTGAGGTAAAAAACATTGAATAGCTCAGCCTTGTCCCCCCATCTATCACTAATTGCTTCTTCTTGTTCAGTAGGGGTTCTATGCTGCCCTGCACCCTCCTTTTACTCCCTACATACCTAAAAGAAGACTTTTTGTTGTCTTTAATTTGTGTTGCCAGCCTCAGCTCTAGCTGCTTTGGCTTTTCTAACTGCCTCCCTGCAAGTGCAGGCCAAGTAGGTATACTCCTCCTTGGTAGTTTCTCCCTGCTTCCACTGCCTATATAACTTCTTTTTGTCCTTAGACTCTCCTGGATTTCCCTGTTCAGCCAAGGAGTTTTTTGGCTCCTTTTCCCTTGTACTGAGAGAGTCTCCCTCTGTACCCGAAGGATCGCTTCCTTTAGAAAACACCACCTTTCCTGGACTCCCATCTCACCAATACTCTTATCCTGCAGTGCGTCATTGACTAGACTCCTAAGCACACTGAAGTTAGCCTTCCTGAAGTCAAGCACTACTAGTTATTTTACCCACCCTATGCCATATGGTGAATTATTCTTAATAATCTATCTCCAGTACATTTATTTTATGCCATATACTAACTCTTAACAGTTAAGACACTTTTAATGTAATTGTAATGAAATGGTTATTGTTTGCAACCTAGAATAATTTATTCTTAAGGACACTTATTGATACAAAACTACCATAAATATTATATCTTCTACTGCAGACTTCTTCTGTATGTTTATTTACAATAGTGAATCATTAACAGAAAATAACTATCTTCTTACTTTTAAATCAGTGTTTATTAAAAAGCCTAATTTTAAAAGCAGGACCAGGTATCTCAAAAATATAGATAATTTCCCTGTGCTCTTACAAATTTGTTTTGCATGTGTACATTTTAAAATATATTTTATAGTGATTTGCAACAATGGTGTTGTGGGAAAATCATGGCCCGGACTTGTGCCGGATTTTAACCATTGCTCATCTTATTGGTGATGTTTCCAAAATCAGAAGAAGAAGGCAGAAAAAGTCTCCAGATGCAGATACTGATTGACCCACTATGAACTGTTCAGTGCATTACTCATTCTATCAGTTCCAAATTTTGTAACTGCCAGCTTTTCAAAAACAGCAGGAAGAACACACAAACTAACCAAACCATTAGCAACCACCTGCTTCCTTTTGTTTTTGAGCTTGCTCCTTGGCCTAAATCAAGAATATGCATTTGCCCCTTTATAACATGATCTAGAGCTCTAGCAGGCTGGCCCATTGAAGTCTGTGAGCCAGAAATGTCCTTGACACTGAAACTCTCTGTAGTTTAGCAAACTCAGTGATGGCCAGATTTGCAAAGGTATTTAGATGACAATCAGGATCTTTAGGAGCCCCAAATGTCTTTGAAAATCTGTCCCTTAACCGCTCCCTTGTCTCAGTTTCTTATTTCATAAAATGGACCATGTTGTTACAAGGGCAAACTAGTAAGTATTTTTTTAAGTGAAAAATATTTTGAAGTGGAAAGTTAAATAGTAGTATAGACCTTGAGCTAGATTCCTTTCTCATTTACTATCCTTTTCAACTTGGGCCAGGGACAGACATTACACATAAACCAGTTTAAGTGATAAGAAACTGGTTTAAACCTGTAACAGAACAGACGTTCAGTGCATATAAATCAGTTTGAAAATGGCTGAAACCGGTTTGAGGTAAACGTGGTAGAATGTAGCGTCAGACTTAACTGATTTGGGTCAAACCAGTTTACTCAATGTCTGTTCCAGACCCCTTGCTGGTTTAAGTTACACCAGACTCCCCCAGCATCCCGACATGCTCCCTGGGCTGAGTAGGGCTTTCTGTTCCACAGCAGAGCTGGCTCCTCCCCTCTGCTCCCTAGCTGGAGCTCAGCAGAGACTGCAGGCATCTGCCTGGCTTCCCCCTACTTCCCTGCTTCTCTCCCCACTCCCTGCTAAGCAGGGATTCCCTACCTTACACAGATACCCCTCAGCATTAGCTAGCAGACCACATGCTGGCTACGGTCCATGCTGTGGCAGATGGGACAAAAGTAGAATCAATGGATAGCTGGTAATGTCCCTCTGTTTTTTTCTTAATGGGATGATAAACACTGAATTAGGGGTGATAAATACTGTGTTATCAATTCCCTGCTGGGCTTCTCAGAAGGTGCGGGGGATTCCTCTCTAATTAGAGTGTCCTGCCAGGGCCTGGCCATGCCCCCCTCAGCTCAGCACCTTGGATGGGAAGGGAGGGCTGCTCTAGCCCCGCCCTGGCCTCTAGCCAGAGCCAATGCAGGCATGTGCCTGCATTTTTGGGATCTCTGTATAGTTACAGACTGATTCAGCCTAGCTAGGTTAGACTAACCTGCAAGGATTGAATCAATTCAGGCTCAGGCTTTTTGAATGTCTGTCCTTAGCCTTATAGAACTACTGATTGCAGCAGACTTAATCATGATTTGTATCAGTTGTGCTAAACCTCTCTGGCCCCAAAATCCAGATCCTGCAAAAAGGGCCAGTCCATAAGCTGGTTCCAGTATAGAGTTGGTCCACAGATATGATCTGGCTCTGGCACAACCCCACATACTAGATGTAGCCATAAAACCACCACATACTGGCAAAATCTGGGACATGGGATGATGTTATCTGGACCACAGAGCTCTCCATGGGTCCAGAAATCTGGCAGTGGTATAGAGCAATTAACACTGTTCCTCTGCTGCCGAATTCCTGGATCCTTGGGGAGCTCCAAGAGCCAAATGACAAAGCTCTGCAGGCCAGGTCCGCTCACAAGATGGAGGCTAAGCATCTGATGTACATTGCTTTGAGTTGTGAGGAAAATCAGGCATCAAAATATTCCATCTGATAAATTCTCCCACTGCTTGCATTTAGTCAGAAAGATAAAATATCTTTATGCTTTGAATTTTACTTTCCTAGAATATGTATTTTGTCTTTGTAGCACAAATAAAACATTTGTCATAGGAATATGTTGTTAATGAAAGGTATCTGCCTTCTATATAGATAAAGCCAATGATAGGTATGTTTAGAAATGAAGGCCCAGATTCACAAAGTTATGTATGAGCCTAACCAACATGTTAAAAACAGTGAGATATTAAAATCAGTGGGAGGGGGGCTCCTAAATACCCTTGTGAATTTGACCCTCATAAAAATTAATCCAAAGTGAAAACTATTCCAACAATCCTTGGGTTCGTTCTAAGTACATTTGGAGAATATTTTTGTTACACTTGCCCTACCTTCATTTCCTTTCGTAGCTACTGATGCTTACCTTTAACCTCTGGTATTATGAGTAGCAGAGGTGCTGAGTACAGGGGGGGCCTGAGGGCCCTGGCCCCCCTGTGGAAGTGGACTGTCACCTGAAATGTATAAAACTTTCCACATGTCCATCATCTTAGCCTCCCTCCCACCTCCCCGGCAAAAATAAAAGTTGGTACCTATGACAGATAGGCTTAATCAGGGAGAATGGCCTTGCAGTGGGCACTAAAACCCTTTAGTGTTATCCATCAGCTCTATACCCTCTTATTGTCTGTACTTTTAGCCTGCCCTATTTCATAGTATACAGTTTTAATAAACACTTCCTTTTTCAGGCCGTCTCAATTGGTGGTCCACAGTGTGTACAAGCTGCAAACGTCTTCTTCCATTGGCTACAACCGGTGATGGGAACTGTCTCTTACATGCTGCCTCATTAGGTAAGAGAGAGTCTGGATGTGCTGCTTGTGATACATGTAAGCTTTACTTTTCCCAACAAAAACAGGAGGAACGTCTTTTAGATGCAAAGTTTCTTTGTTGACAGGGTGCCTCAAGTATAATATACTCTACTGTTCTTGTTCTTCCACTCATAGCAATGCTTAGTAAAAAGATGCTAAAGCATAAATGTGGTTTTCTGTTTGTTCTTTGAAAAGGAACTGAAATAACAAGCTAACCCTTGTCTGTAAGGCTAGTGTATGGGCCCCTGTACACATGATGGTAAGGGTGCAATGGGATCCAGTGTTCAATCCACAGTCACACTACATGCTACACGTGCATGGCAGGAGGTGTGATTGTGGGATCACACATTAGATCCTGTCATGCCTTATGGCCAGTGCAGTGGGAACCTGATCTCAGGCTCCACCTGCACCAGCATGGAGCAAGTTCTGTGACCCCCTCAGCCCCCTCAGTTGAGGAGCGATCAGTGATGGTTGTAGCCCACACACCCTCAGCTCTGGAGGTTTCACACACCCTTGCACATCCATGGGACCTTGCTGCACATGCAAATTAAAATATGATAGCAGCCAGCTCTAAAGTTAGTACACATTTCCGAGCTCTAACTTTATGAGTAGGGACAGAACTTAGACACAAACCAGTTTAAGTGATCAGAAACTGGTTTAAACCTGTAACAGAATAGAAGTTCAGTGTACAAAATGGCTAAAAATAAAACTAGCTGAAACCTGGTTGGATGTAGTATCAGACTAAACTGATTTAGGTCAAACCAGTTAATGGAACTTGTGTCTCAGACACCTTCCTGGTTCAGGTTAACTCACAGTCCCCCAGCATCTCAGGATGCTTTGCAGCCCTGGGCTGTGCTGTATGCTCCAGCAGAACAGGGTAGGTCCCACCCCTCTTCTCCCTAGCTGGACCACTACCGCTGCTCTGGCTGGCTGAGAAGGGTGTGAGGGTGGGAAACCTGGTTCTAGACCCCAAGTAAGGTCTGCCTGGTGGGAGCAGAGCAGCCCCTTACAGGCTTTTTTCCCCACTTGCCGCTGGAGTGGGGAGGGGGCAGACCCTGGGCCTGACTGGCAGAATGAGGTGGGGGACAGGAGGCTTTAAGGAGCCCAGCTAGGGTGAGGGAGGCCCCAGGCTGGCAGGCTGAGGTGGAAGAGAAGGATGGAAGAGCAGACTTCAGCTGGAGCCCTGTGCAGGCTGGGGGAGGGGTTTAACCCCCCTCCCTCCCCTCCACTTCAGGGTGCTGAGTCAAGCCAATATCTGGCCACACACCCCCTCTCGAGCGGGGTAAAGGTCTGTTAAGGTCTGCTTCAGGCCTGCCAGATAGACCCATCTGGGGTCCTATGCAGGGTGAGGAGGGGGTTTAAACACCCCTCTCCTCCCCTCCACTAGCTAGGGGGTTTAAATCCCCTCCCCCATCAAACTCAGTGGGCTTGCCAGGACCTGGCCATGCCCCTCTCAGCTGGAGCAGGGAGTTGGGAAAAGCCCTGGAGCACTTCTCTCCCAGCTTGCCTCCAGCCTTCTGGCCACTGCAGAAGGGAAGACGCACGCTAACGCTCCCCAGCTTCTGGCCTGAGCCACCATAGACACATGGCTGCATTTCCAGAATCAGAAGTAAATATCTGTTCTCTTGCTTCTTGGTTCAGTCTGTGCAGTTTAGACTAATTTGCAAAGATTGAATGATTCAACCTCAGGCTTTTTTGACTGTCTGTACTTAGTCTATAGATGATTAGAGCTTTTAATGTCATAATAACTAGTTTACATGTGTAGCTTGTCTCAGGGTAGTTGCACAATTAACCAACTGATCGCACAATATCTGGAACATGTGGAAGGGGCCTGTGTTACCTATAATGGGTCCAGTCCTACAGCCTTGGTTCAGGCAAAATTCCTGTTGGCTTCAGGCTTACTATTTCATCATGAGGCTCATCTTCTCCTGATATTTGTAAACATTCATCTTGACACCAGTAAAAATTAAAATCTAAATATGCTTGATATATTCAGTCCTTTGAAAGGGCAACTACACGGGCAACAGAATTTAATGTAAGGTAGAACTTTTTTCCTGTGTGTTTGCAGTTGATTCAAGGACACCATAAACTTTCTACAAATGGCATCAAAGAAATACAACCTTGTGGTTCTACTGTTGGAAATTAGTATGTTGTTTATTTCCTGACAGTTATTTGGGAGCTGAAATTTCACACCAGTAGAACTTCAAAAGACATCTTCTTTTTAAAAAGTGTTTTTCTAGTCATGTAGAGGGGATCATTTTATTTTTGAAACAGAAGGCAAGTAAACAACGAAATAGATTTGAATCCTTGCAAGGTTCCTTCATTTGGCTTTCTTTATCTAATTTTACCTATGAGGGACTATTTATTATTTACAACAATTGGCTGGGGCCTTTTGACTTGCACACTTTGGAAGAAAGATATTTAATGTGGATGGCTGGCAATATGATAATTGAAACATGATTGCCTATGGGCACGTGTCGTGGTGAGATGTATGGCTCTTTTGTGTTGGAGTTCATTTGCTTAGGAAGACATTTTTTGTTATCTTAACAACAGTTTGAAAGCCTGTGGTTGTTTCTATTTTTAGACTCCTAATAATCATGAACACTGGTCTCTTTATTAGGACATGACTGCCAGAGGACATTTTTTATCATGCTGTGTGAAAGTGGAGGCCTGTGGGGTATCTGTCACTGTTTGAGATAGCCATAACTGCCTGTAGTTATCATTAGCGTTCTGATCTCTGCATGGTCAATTGTTAACTCTGCCGCTAAAATAAAGACCTGTGCATTGAGTGTTCAGTTCCTTGGCAAAGCTGAAGTAATGCAACACATATTATGAGACTAATGAGAACCTTAGTCATGTCTTTATCTGACTAGACTCTGTAAGAATTTCACACTGTTCTTCATTAGCCTTTTTATATTTTATTAGGGAATTTTCATTAGGGAATCCAGAAAATAATGAAAGGGAATTAGTGGTTATCAAGGAGAATTTTAACAAATGATTGATAATATATGCTGCTTTTGTTTTTAGAGCAGTGTTAACTTGTGTTTTCTGTAATAGTTTATTCTATATAAATACTGGATCTGTTTCACTCATGGCTTTTATTTTTTTTTATTTATTTGCTGTAGGGATGTGGGGTTTTCATGACAGGGATCTGGTATTACGTAAAGCACTCTACACTATGATGAGAAGTGGAGCTGAAAGGGAAGCACTGAAGAGAAGGTGGAGATGGCAGCAGACCCAACAGAATAAGGAGGTCAGTATGGCCTAAAAACAATTTAAACCAGTGTATAGCGGATGTCATTTTCATCCATTCCTCTGATGTTCCTTGTAAAAGCTTTTGCTTCTACCAGATTCTATATGCATTAATTTTTTTGCATGAAAATAGACCTTAAGCATGAAAGTCAGATGTGCAACTAAAGATATTAGTGTAGGCTAGTAAAACAAACATACGTAGTGTTGCACCATCCATGTTCAAGCCTTGTTTGGTACCAGGTAAAAATTCAGGTCTCCAAATATAACTATTTTTTACCTATGGAAAAAATATATAAAGGCATTAAAAGTCCAGGCTAAATCCAAAAAAAGAAGCTCTACGATAAAAATGAAAACTCCAGTAATCTCTGTGATCATGCCGAGAATGAAGAGCAGATATTGAAACACAGATTATCACCTGTAATCTTGAAGTAGTTTTAAGTTGGATCCTTCATACATTTTGCTGAAATAGGTCATGTCCAAACAGGGTTTGGAAAAACTGCATTTCAGAGTTCATTCTGCTCCTGTAGGTAAAGAGGACCCTTTCTGCTTCAGCCCCATTTTGCATTGGGATTAGATTTTTAAGGATTCTATAGTGCAGAGGTTGGAGGTTATTTGTAGTGAAAAGTGCCAAGGAACAAGTTAGGGTCCTGTGATTTCTGAAAATGTACCCGCTCCCCCCTTCTAAAGCTCCCATTGAATGAATGCTTTCAACACAAGATACATCCCTTCCCAGCAGCACACATCTTGGCACTCCAGGCAGCTGTATTAGAAGCAGAATCTGACCCCTTTTCAAGCTCTTCTCATATCACCAGTTCCTTCCCCATTTTCATATAGAACTCAAATTATGTGATGGTTTGCTTTGCACAAGGCCAGTTGTTACAAATAAACATTATTGTGATATGGTTTGTAGGGGTTTAAAATGTATCCTTTTTTTAACAAACATTCATAATGTTAAATAAACAGATTTCTTTTCAGCAGAAATTAATTCTGCATGCGACTCCTTTGGACCAATGTTGCTGGGATCTGTTGGCATTGCTTCACTATCTGGGTAGCAGAACTGAATTTCTTCAGCATCCGTTCTCAGTGCAAACTATTAAAAGACAAAAAACTGTAGCAAATTGGATAAGAATTTGAGTAAGAGATAGCACCTTTGAAGACAACAATAGCTAATCTGTCTCAAAGCCCTGGTGTTCTGTTTCTCAGTTAATCCCTCTATTCTCTCAGTATGAGAATTGGTGCTTCCATTAGTGGTAGATACAGTGGAATGAATAAAATAATTAATTTCCTAAATACTCCAGCATGAATGCTAACCCTACACAACCAGATGAATGTGGCTAAACAATTGCAGCTGATATTAATGCTATTCATATATATATATACACACACACACACACACAGAGAAATGAATATATTCTCAGATAATGATTGCTAATGAGAGTGGGTGTACCAAAATATGAGCACTAACAAAAATCTAACTCGCATTTGCTGTCTCAAAGCTGTTTGAGTAATCATTGGCTGGGTCGTCTTTGTTCTGCTTGAAAACACAAAGGAACTAAAGCCACCTGTCTGCTCTTTATGTCTTTGGAAATATTCTGCTTCAATCACCTAAAGGAGGAGTGGGAAGTAATTGCAAGTACTACAATGAAGGAGGGTACATATGTGGTTTGCTAGCAGCTCTCCCAGCCCCATCATAGCTTCAGGATGAGAGCAAAGTTCTACAATAACACTGGAAGCTGAGAAACAAAACATCAGAAATTTCACATATGAGATAACTGAATTTCGACAGGAAAAATGTTGCGTATGTATTTGTGCAGGAGCAAGTTTAAAGCCTCCTGAAAAAAAAATTAAAAAACATCTTATCTGTGTGTGTTCTAATAACATGTTGCTCTTCATCTTCAAGAAGTAAATTATATTGTCATAATGGTTCAAAGCAATTGAACTTATGTATTCAAATAGCACCTGGTGTGAACTACAGTATTGTTTCGCGTGTCATGGTGTCTAGTAGGTGATATATATTATATTTTGTACTGTTGTATCCTACAATACTTGCTCTTCTTTCTCCTAGTCGGGTTTAGTTTACACAGAAGAAGAGTGGGAACGGGAATGGAATGAACTTCTTAAGCTGGCTTCAAGTGAACCTCGCACCCATTTTAGCAAAAATGGAGGTACTGGTGGTGGGTAAGTTTGGATTGTAACAAATTTTTATAGCTTCTTATTCCAGCATGAAGGATCTATTCCTTATTCAACCAGTATGTGTCCTAGAATTTGAAAAAGCTCATGGGGTATTTGTGGCACTTTTAACTCGTTTATTTGGTACAATAGAATCCCATTATCTACTCATTCTGTAATAATGCTCAGCATTTCATTGCAATCTCTTATTACAAATAACAAGTTGGGCAAGTAGTTCAGAGACAGATTTCTCAGCAACTATGCAGAAGAACCAGAATTCTACACATTCCAATTTTTTGCTTTTTGGAGGTAATATAGAGGCAATCATGCTGATCCTGAAAGAGATGGAGGGGTGCCTCACATCCTCAGAATGACCCTCCACCTCATTAAACATCAGCTAAAAGGATAGCTTTTACTGAGGTGTTGGAGGTGAAGCACAGAAGTAGGGGAAGGTAGAAAAACAAGGTGCCAATGACTTCATCAAAACCACACTGTAGTTTTAGGAGATTGTCAGGAAGGACCCACAAATTATATTTTTCACTGTTTCTTATTTCATATTCTTAATGATAAAAACATACAGAAACAGGTTTATTCAAAATTCTGTGCTGCCAGATTAGGGTCATAGACCATGAATGTTGTAGACTTTCAACTATATGAGAAGTAGATGAAGCAGGTCATGGCTAGATCTGTAGGTCATAGAAGTATTGTAGGTCATTGACACAGGTGTGGAGAAGTGAAGCTTGTGGCATTAACCTGGAGCAAAGCACATTGTGGCAAAATGAACAGGCTGTGCATTTAAAAATGTGAAAGACAGGCTGTGCTTTCACAGGCAGGCATTTTAAAGCATGAGAAAATGGCCAGTTCATTTAAGGGTAAATTGACTACCTTTATGGGAAAACTAAACTTCTTTTAGGTTTGCATCTTTAGAGTTTGCAGCTTTTAAAAATCATGATAGCATGTCTTCTTCAAAGAACTATTGGAAGTTTCCCAGTCACAGACCCTGGTTCTCATGTGGGACTTCAATCACCCTGACATCTGCTAGGAGACCAATACAGCAGTGTGAAGGCAATCCAGCAAGTTTTTCGAGACTACTAGAGACAACTTCATAGTGCAAGTGGTGGAGCAGCCAACTAGAGGCCATGGTCTTCTTGACCTGCGCCCATAAACAGGGAAGAATTGGTGGGGATTGTAATAGTGGATGGCAACTTGGGCAGCAGTGACCATGAGACAATTTTGTTCAGGTTCCTCAGGAAAGGAAAGATGGAGAGCAGTAAAGTAAGGACCCTGGACTTCATAAAATCAGATTTCAACTTGCTCAGAGAACTCATGGGCAGGATCCCCTGGGAAGCCAGTGTGAGGGAGAGAAGAGTCCAAGAGAACTGGCTGTACTTCAAAGAAGCTTTACTGAGAGTGCAGGAACAAACCATCCTAACATGCAGGAAGACTAGCAAGTATGGCAGAAGACTAGCTTGGCTTAGCAGGGAACTGTTCAGTGAAGTAAGTCACAAAAAGAAAGCTTATAAGAAGGGGAAACTTGGACAAATAAATAGGGAGGAGTATAAGAGCATTGCTCGGGCATTCATGGACAAAATCAGGAAGGCCAAAGTGCAGCTGGAGTTGCAACTAGTAAGGGATGTGAAGGGTAACAAGAAGGATTTCTACAGGTATGTTGGTAGCACGAGGAGGATCAGGGAAAGTGTGGGTCCCTTACTGAATGGGGGAGGCAACCTTGTGACAAAGAATGCAGAAAAGGCTGAAGTACTCAATGCCGCCTTTACCTCAGTCTTCACAGGCAAGGTCAGCTTCCAGACTGATGAACTAGGCAGCACAGTTTGGGGAAGAGGTAAGCAGTCAACAGTGGCGAAAGAACAGGAGTTGGCTGATGAAATTGCAGAGCCATTGGCCATCATTTTTGAAAAATCGTGGTGATCAGGGGAGGTCCAAAATGATAGGAAAAGGACAAAAATAGTGCCCATATTTAAGAAAGAGAAAAAGGAGGATCCAGGGAAGAGCATTCCAGTCAACCTCACTTCAGTCCCTTGGAAAAATCATGGAGCAGATTCTCAAGGAATCCATTTCTAAGGATCTGGAGAAGAAGGTGATTAGGAACAGTCAGCACGGATTCACTAAGGGCAAGTCATGTCTAACCAACCTGATTGCCTTCTATGACAAGGTGACGGACTCTGTGGATGCAAGGAGACCAATGGATGAGATAAACAGGAGACTCTCGCTGTTCGTGGGGGATACGTTCCCCGCAAATGGTGAAATCAGTGAATACTGACGGGGTTCCCCATCAGACTCCACAGATGTGCCCTGCTTCCCCCCCGCCATTGTTCATGGTGCTCCCCTGCAGCACCTGGGGACCAACCTCTTCTCCCTGAGCACTGTTGTGGCTGCTCCAAGCACCACCATGGCTGCCTCCAGGGGAAAAGGTGCCACTACCGCTGCCTCCATCCATATCCCTGGCACTCGCTCTCTGCCCGCCTCCCATCTCTGCCCTCCCCTGCAAATATTTAAATCCATGAATCCAGAGTTCACGAATAGCGAGGGTTTCCTGTACCATGATTTTAGTGAGGCTTTTGATATGGTTTCCCACAATAGTACGGGCTGGATGAATGGGCTGTAAAGTGGATAGAAAACTGGCTGGAGCACTGGGCTCAGAGGGTAGTAATCAATGGCTTGATGTCTAGTTGGCAACTGGTATCAAGCGGAGTGCCCCAGGGGTTGGTTCTGGGGCTGATTTTATTCAGTGTCTTCATGAACGACCTGGAAGATGGCATAGAGTGTGCCCTCAGCAAGTTTGCAGGTGATACCATGCTGGGGGCAGTAGTAGATATGTTGGAGGGTAGAGCTAGGATTCAGAGTGACCTAGACAAATTGGAGGATTGGGCCAAAAGAAATCTCATGGGACGTGTCCACACATGCAAGCACGTGCACTTGCAGCAACTCAAATAGAATCAGTGCAAATTTGAGCCAGGGCTTTTTGCCTCAGTCCACATGCCCGGACATGCACTTTGTTGTGGAGCAAATTGTGCCACTTAGGGCAAAATAACCCTGCTCGTCTCCTCTTGGATCTGCAGCCAGGGGAAGCTAGAGCCTGGGGCCAGCATCTGTGCTGGCCCCAGAAGTATAAAAACCTGCCCTGGCCAGCAGCTCAGGGCTGCTTGCCCTCGGGAACTTCTGAGGCCCAGCCACTTGGTATCTGGGGACATAGCCCCTTGTGCCAGCTAAACCGCTGAAGCAGCATCCCAAATTCACTTTTTAAAATAACCCAAAGTCCACATTCTTCCACAATTAGAACAAACAGAGGGATTGATCAGATGGGCAATGTTTTATTGCCATATTTACCATGTTAAAGCAATTTGGAAGCCTACCAGTGTCTCTAGCATCATAATAAAATAAATTGTAAATATCTATATGTTTTAATGTTTGCTTTTGGTTTCCTTATCACGTGGTGGGTGTGTAATGGGAGGATTGTGGGGTTTGCAGAAGAGAGATGGGAAGGGGAGTGGGGGGATGTGGGTGGGTATGGAAAAATGTGGGGGGATGCAGGTTAGTGTGTGAGTACATGTGGGGGGATTGTGGGTGTGGGAGCTACTTAGGAGGGGTGGGTCCCCTGCCCCCCACAGGGCAACAGGACAGAGCCTCCCCACACAGCACATGGACTACCCTGCCTGCAGTGTCCCAGCCCCCCTGTCCACCAGGGGCTAAAGCCCCCTCCCAGCCCCCACACTGGTCTCCAGCCCCCTGCTCATTCCCCTGCTGGTCTCCAGCCTTGGGAGGCTGGAGATGAGCAGGAGGCTAGAGAGAGCCAGGAAAATGAGCAGGAGGCTGGAGACAGCAGGGGAAGTCTCCAGCTCATCTCCAGCGGCTCGTCTCCAGCCTCCTGTTCCTTCTCCTGCTCGTCTCCGGCCTCCTGCTCATTCTCCTGCTTGTCTCCAGCTCCCTGCTTGTTCCCCTGCTCATCTCTAGCCTCAGAGGCTGCTGCGCCTGCCAGTGAGTTTGGAGGGGCTGAGAGAATGGGCGGAGGGCAGGGGGAATGAGCGAGGGGTGGGGAGAATGAATGGGGAGCTGGGAGAATGAACTAGGGCTGGGTCTTAGCAGGGCCTCCCCCATGGTCCCTTCCCCCCTCTTCTCCAGCCCCCTAATCCCTTACTTACCTGTCACGAAGCTTGGTCCAGATCCCTGCAGCTTGTACCACTGCCTGCCCTGCATAGGCAGGCAGCGTGCTTCAGCACCAGGGGAAGGGCCAGCCGCAGAGACACTCTGGCTGGTTACCAGAGCCTCTTTGTGGAGGACTGAGCCTCTGGTTGCCTCAAGGCATGGTCTGGGACCATGCCCTGCCCCATGTTTTCCCCCAGGGTATTGTGCACCTCCTGGATATCCAGGGGTTTAATTTTTCCCTTGTGCTACAAATTTGCAGTGCAGGGAATGGTTTTTTTGTTCCTGGACATCCCTCATGCAGTGTCTCAAAGGGCTTCAAGATGCTGCGAGAGACACGTGCACACTTGTCCTTGTTGAACCTCATGGGCGCATCCAGACAAGTGCGAAGTCCTGCACTTAGAATGAAACAATCCTATGAATCAGTACAGGCTGGGGGCTGCCTGGCTGGGCAGCAGCTCTGCCGAAAAGGACCTGGGGGTTACACTGGACAATAAGCTGAATATGAGTTAACAGTGTGCCCTTGTTGCAAAGAAGCTAGCAGCATACTAGGCTGCACCAGCAGGGGTGTTGCCAGCAGTTCAAAGAAAGTGATCATCTTCCTCTGTTTGGCACTGGTGAGGACACATCTGGAGTACTGTGTTCAGTTTTGGACCCCCCACTACAGAAAGGATGTGGACAAATTAGAGAGAGTCCAGCTGAGGGCAACAAAAAATGATGAGCCAGCTTGGGAACACAATTTATGAGAAAAGACCAAGGGAACTGGGTTTTCTTAGTCCAGACATGAGGCGACGGAGAGGTGATTTAATAGCAGCCTTCAGCTACCTGAAGAGGGGTTTGAAAGAGGA